GGAAACTTAATGATATCATCTTGCGAGAACAAGGAAACAAACGGCAAAAGCTAAAGAGAGAAGCTGCAAGCAGAGGAAAGAGGAGAGTGATAGCGACCCAAATTGCCCAGATCTGAGTGGTTCAAGGGTCAAATTGACAACACCGGTGAGATATGGTGTTAAGGAGATAACTATATCGCCAATTCTAATCGGCGATGTGAGCGCTAGCAAGTCAAAACCCAGTGGAACAGTACATGCAAGCCCAGTAACAGAGCAACGACCTACAGTGATCAATAAGCACAAGACTACTGTAATGACCCGCCCGGTCGTTTTGATAGTTGTAGTCCGTTCCGCAATTTACTACTCATTTTGTACTTTATAGTTGTTATATGACTTATCGGGTTAGTCGGTTCCGGTCCGGAGAGAATTCGGAAGGAATTGAGACACATAGTCTCAGAATTGAAAGCTTAAGTTAAAAAAATTGATCGGATATTGACTTATGTGAAAACGACTCCGGAATGGAGTTTTGATGGTTCCGTCAGCTTGGTTGGGTGATTTTGGACTTAGGAGCGTGTTCGGATTGTGATTTGAAGGTTCATAGTAGAATTAGGCTTGAAATGGCGAAAATTGAAAGTTTGAAAAGTTTGATCGGGAGTGGATTTTTTGATATCGGGGTCGGATGGAATTTCGGAAGTTGGAGTAGGTCCATGGTGTCATTTGTGACTTGTGTGCAAAAGTTGAGGTCATCTGGATGTGATTTGATAGGTTTCGACGTCGTTTGTAGAAGATGAAAATTCATGTGCGATTCATGTTTAGATGTTGTTTGAGGTGGTTTGTAGGCTTGAATAAGTTTGTATTGTGTTTTAAGACTTGTTGGTATGATAGGTTGAGGTCCCGGGGGCCTCGGGTTAATTTCGGATGGTTAACGAATCAAAACTGGAAGTTGGTGCATTGCTGAAGTAGGAGCCCTTCTGGTGTGATCGCACCTGCGAGGGATTGGCCGCAGGTGTGATGCCGTAGATGCGGATGGATGTGCGCAGGTGCGAAAATGGGCAGGCCTGGGCAGGGCGCAAGTGCGAAGGGTTGACTGCATCTGCGAGCCCACAGGTGCGAGCAAGGCTCCGCAGATGCGGTGTTGAGAGAGGGGGTCTGATCCGCAGAAGCAAAAAGAAGGCCGCAGTAGCGCCTCCACGGGTGCGGATCCTGGAGCGCAGATGCGGGCCTGGAGGATTTAAGTGGATACCGCAAAAGCGATGAATTTACCGAGAAGCAGGTCCGCAGGTGCAGATAGTTGGCCGCAGTTGGGGAAATCCTAGCAGTTTTTTATAATCGAGGGTTCCGAGATTTTTCACCATTTGCAACATTTCTAGCTCTGTCTAAGACGATTTTTTCGAGGGTTTTCGAGGGGATTCTTGAGGTAAGCCTCTTGTGCTCATTGTTATTCCATAAACTTGGTTCCCCATTCATTTTCACACCTAGATTGTGTGGTTTTGAGGTGAAATTTGGGGGTATGAGGTTAGGGATTTGGAAAGTTGATTTGGGGGATTTGGGTGACGATTTGGTGTCGGATTTTGATAAATTTTGTATGGTTAAACTCGTGGTTGATTGGGCTTTCGGGTTTTGTGACTTTTGTTGGACTACGAGACATGGGCCCGGGGGCCGGCTTTGAGCCGATTTTTTGCTTTTGATTAATAACTTCGTATTTTCTTGTGGAATTGTTCTTTTAGCCCGTGTTGGTTATATTGTACTGTTTGTTGCTAGATTCAGTGCATTTGGAGGCCGATTTGCAAGGCAAAGGTGTATTCGAGTAGAGATTTGCTCGGATTTAGGTAAGTAATACTTCTAAACTTAGCTTTGAGGGTTCGAAACCCCGAATTACGTGTTATATGATTGATGTTAAGGTGGTGCACATGCCAAGTGAATGCGGGCGTGCACCGTAAGAACTGTGACCTGGTCGATTCCATGGAACTGTATAGTGTATTTATCTTGCTGATATTCGTGTTTTCATCATGTGATAAAGTAATTGAGTTGTCAATCATGCAAGAAATCATGTTTAGGCTATATGCTGGTACCGTTGGGACCCATAGTAGTCGTTTCTTGCTGTTGACGTATTGACTTCATTGAAACTTTGTATTCAGTCATATTCATTCATTACATATCATATCTCAGTCTCTATTTGCTATTTATTGATACATCATATCATCATTCTCGGGCTAGTTCCAGGACATTGTGAGCCTGCGAGAGAAAGACCGGAGAGATTGATGATTGAGTGAGGCCGGGGGCCTATTATGAGTGACATTTATGGGATCGGGCTGCATGCCACAGGGTTTTTTACTGATTTATGATAGCGCTTGGGCTGAAAGAGCCCCTTCAGAGTCTGCACACACCCACAGCGAGCGCGGTTGATTATATTGAGGGATGGATCTTCGCTGGACATGGATCTTGTTCGAAGCATTTATACTTGTGGATGGATCTTCCCCACGTGCTGGATTGACCCTACCCAGTACTGAGTGACTGATGGTCAGTTGATGTATATATTCCGGGATGGATCTTCCCTGGGCCGGATTCGCCATATACAGTACTCAGTGATTAAGCATTTTGAGAGTGTGAGCACATGAGGCTTTCAGCATGGTACATCACATACAGCATGTTCATTGGCATGAAGAAGTAGAGAAGTTATATTCTTCATATCATTTAGAATTGATCTACCTTACTGTATTGAGTTTTACTGTTGAACTTGAAAGTATGTCTACATTTCTGCACTGTTATTTCTATATTGAACTGTATCGGTTGAGTTCGTCACTACTTTCAGTCCAAAGGTTAGATTTGTTATTTATTAAGTTGGTTGTACTCACGCTACACCCTGCACCTCGTATGCAGATCCAGGTGCTTCCGCTCTCGAGGTAAATGCATGGCGTTCACAGACCTTGACTCTCCTTCCCTACCTTTATTTATGTTTCAGGTCTTATTCTATAGACGTTGTATTAGACTATATCCCCATATAGATGCTCAAGTACTTGGTGACACCTCAGTTTCGGGAGAGATTTGTATTGAGTTGCGAATTTTATTATGCTTTCAAAAGGTTTTCCTTAAATATTAAATGCCTTCGTATTTTTCAAAGCTTTTACTGTGTTGAAATAGTTGAGTAGTTGGCTTGCTTAGTTCCACGATAGGCGCCATCAAGACGGTTTCGTTTTGGATCGTGACAACTAAATAAGATAAAGCAGCTTAGAAAACAAGAGATGGAGGCAGATCCTGGGCAGGACTATTCCAGGAGAACAAATTAGTTGCAAATGGGATGAAGTTTCCCTACGTCCCTCCGGTGATACAGGATGGGGAAGTTGTACAACTTCAATTACTGGAAGAAGACCTTGAGGAGGAAAATCAGAAATGGAATCGAGCGTTGATCTTATATGTGGTTGGAAATACTCCAACCATTGGGGCAATCGAGCGATTCATTGCGAGCCCGTGGAGTTGAGTCAAAAGACCAAAGGTACTCTTCCATAATGATGGTTATTTTGTGATCCTATTGTCTAGTAGTGAAGAGCGGGAAGATGTATTATTGAATGGACCATACACCATAAATTGCAGGCCTATTATCATAAGGCCATGGGCGGTTGACTTCAATGAGGAGACTCTGAAAACCATTCCTCTATAGGTCAAACTACCTAATCTACCTTTGAATTGCTGGAGTAAGTAGGCTTTGAGTAAAATTAGAAGTGGCTTAGGCAAACCTCTATATGCCGATGCATGTACTACTGTTGCAGAGAGAACTATATATGCTAGAATCCTGATCGAAATGGATATTACCAAGCCTCTGCCTCAGAAAATTAAGTGACATGATCCCAAGGTGAGGTATTGGAACATATAGTGCAATATGATTGGAAGCCTCAGTATTGCTAAAATTGCTGCCAGCTGGGTCATTCATGTAAAGACCCAAAGAAACAAAAGCTAGAGGGTGACTATCTAAGGGGTGTGTAATACCCTTATAATTTAAATGAGGACATAATGGCCATTCAATAAAACTATTAAATTTAAAATATAAAAAAAAGCAATGAATGGGTCGTTGCCCATCAGATGGAGAAATATATGAACTAGGGTAGCGGAGAACTTTATCTCCAAATATGAGTAATCTGAAAGAAGGAAAATTGAGAAGAAGCCAAAAAGTGCCTTTGCAAAATAAATACTAACCATCATATTCATAAACCATTGCAAGGAAATTAAAAGGGAATGAGGTCCTTCTGGCAATAAGTTTTACAAGGAAACATGATGAAACGACCCGACCAATCGTTTTGAGCATTTGCACTTCGCTCGCCAGTTCTCGGGCATATTTACCCCCGTATAATGTATTATGACTTACGTAAATCATCGGTTTTAGGTTTCAGGTTAATCATAATAGATTTGGAAGAATGATTCTCAGCTTGAAGCTTTAAATTTGAAAGGTTTGACCAATTTTTGACATAGTATTTGACCTCGCATTGGATTTCTGATGATTCTGTTAGCTCCGTAGGGTGATTTTTGACTTAGGAGCGCGTTCGGACTGTGATTTGGAGGTCCGTAGTGGAATTAGGCTTGAATTGGTGAAAGTTGGAAATTTGGCGATTTTGGTCGGTAGTGAAAATTTGATATCGGGGTAGGAATGGAATTTCGGAAGTTGGAGTAGGTTCGTAGTGTCATTTTTGACGTGTGTGCAAAATTTGAGGTCATTCGAACGTGATTTAGCGGATTTCGGCATCGTTTTGTGAAATTTGGAAGTTTAGGAGTTCTTAGGCTTGAATCAGAGGTTAATTTGGCGTTTTGATGTTGTTTTAGGTGTTCCGAAGGCTCGACTAAGTTTGTATGATGATATGTGACTCGTTGGTATTATTGGTTGAGGTCCCAAGAGCCTCGGGTGAGTTTGGAGGGTTAGCAGGTTGGTTCGGGTGTTGTGAACAGTTGAAATGGCTGCTGGTGTGAGCTCTTCTCGTGTTTCTGCAACTGCGGATGAGGAGCTGTAGGTGCGAGGGTCGCAGGAGCGAAAAATGATTGCAGATGCGGAGTTTTGGAACCTGAGGAAGGAGCGCAGGTGCGCCAGCTTGGACGCACCTGCGAGCCCGCAGGTGCGAGGTCTGGCCACAGATGCAGAGTCTGGGCGATTAAGTGGATTGCACAGGTGCGGCGATTGGACCGCAGGTGCGGTCCTGCAGGAACGAGAAATTGGCCGCAGGTGCAGAAAGCTTGGGCAGAAGGTATATATTGCACACTTCGCGAATTTTTGTGTATTCTTCACCATTGCTATTCGGATTTTGAAGCTTTTGGAGAGTTTTGAAGAGGGAATCAAGGGGGTTTTCATTGAAATAAGTTACTTGAGCCTAATACACGTGATTATGGTAATTTTCAGTTGTTTAATCATGTAATTAGTGGTGATTAAGGTTGAAAATGAGGGGTTAGGGCTTGGGATTTTTGGAGAGTTTGATTGAGGATTTGAGGGGTCAAATAAAATCGAATTTTGATAAATCTTGTATGTATGGACTCGTGAGTGAAAGGTCTTTCTAGTTTAGTGACTTTTGTCAGATTCCGAGACGTGGGCTCGGGGGTCGGGTTTGAGAGGATTTCGGGATTTGTGCCTAATTTGCTAATTTTTCTTATGGAATTCATTCCATTGGCGTATTTTGATGGTATTGTTCTGGTTGTGAATATATTCGGAGTGATTGGAGGCCGAGTCGAGGGGCAAGAGCATCGCGGAGCAGAGATTTGACCAATTTGAGGTAAGTAACGATTGTAAATCTAGTCTTGAGGGTATGAAACCCTGGATTTCGCATCGTTTTTACTACTTTGAGATGACGCACATGCTAGGTGACGGGCGTGTGGGCGTGCACCGTTGGGGATTGTGACTTGGTCCATCCGTAGCAACTATAAAGTTGAGTATTTGACTGAAACTATATGATACTTATGTGTTTTAGAAAGAATTTTTATAAATAGGGCTGAATACCATATTTGGGCCTTATGCCAGAGCTGTTTGGACCCTTAGGGGCCTTTCTTATTATCCTCTCACTGTTTTGATTGAAATCTATACTCGTTCATGCTATGTTTACTAATTTCATAACTCAATTTTTATTATCCCGTTTTGATGCATATAAAATGTTATTTTGGGCTGAGCACCCTGTTTTTACTGATAGCCCGAGTGGCTTGAGAGTTTTATGAATGAGTGAGGCCGAGGGCTTATTTTTGTGAGAATATTATGGGATCGGGATGTGCGGCGCTGCAAGTTGTTACTGATTCATGATTATGTGAGGCCGAGGGCCTGATTGATTTATGCCATATGTGGCTTGTCATAACGCTTGGGCTGAATGAGCCCCTCCGGAGTCTGCACACCCCCAGTGAGCGCGGGTACCCTGATTCTGTGTGATGTTATGCCCGAGTGGCTGTTGACGAGTGATTGTGAGATTTGCCCGAGGGGCTGTATATGAGTGATGGTTAGGTATGCTCGAGGGGCTGTATACGAGTGACTCTGAGGTTGCCCGAGGGGCCGTATGTGAGTGATGTTTGCCCGAGGGGCTGCTTATGAGTGATGTTTTGCCCGAGGGGCTATTTATGTTTTCATCATTTTGCTCACTGTTGCACTGAGCCTCTATTTGAGAATTGTTGAAAAATATCTTCAAATGATTTTACTGAAACTGAGTTTAAACGAAATGATTTGATTCAAACTCTGCTTTTAAAAGCCTGATGTACTTTTACTGAGATCTCATGATATGAACTTATATGTTTTATTGCTCGTCACTGCTTCTCAGCCTTTATTTACTTTGGTTTCTTACTAAGTTGGCGTACTCATGTTACTCCCTACACCTTGTGTGCATATCCAGGTATTTCTAGACTCGGTAGCGGGTGTTGATTATTCAGTTGCAGATCCATCGGAGTTAGCAAGGTAGCTGCCTGGCGATCGCAGCCCTGCTTTCCTCCCTCTTTATCTTCCCTTAGTTGTATTCAGTTATTTCCAGACTATGTTAGTCTTGATATTTTCAGACGGTTGTAGTAGATGCTCATGACTAGTGACACCCCGATGTTGGCTTTCTTTCCGCACTTTTGTTTTGATTTTGTAACGATCCGATTGGTCGTTTTGACCAATTTCGTCCGGTTCGACAGTTTGAGGTCACGAGTAGCTTTCATATTATGTGTATCGACTTGCGTGCGCAGTTCGGGCGAGAAACCGGAAAGCTTTTATGTGAAAATATGAAAAATATAGTAATTTCTAGAGTTAAAATTTGGTTTTTAGTTGACTTTGGTAAACATTTTTGGTAAACGGACCTGGATCTGGTTTCCGACAACCCCAGGAGGTCCACGGTAAAATATGGGACTTGGGCGTATGTCCGAAATTGAATTCCGAGGTCCCTAGCCTTAGAAAATAATTTTTGAAGAAAATTATTGTGCTGGTTTTTAAAGGAAATAAATAAATGAATTAATATTTGAACTCGTTGGTATCGGGCCCGTATTTTGGTTCCGGAACCTGGTACAAGTTTGTTATGATATTTAAGTCCTATCTGTGAAATTTGGTGAGAATCGAAATTGATTTGACGTGATTTGGACGTCCGGTTGAAAAGTTAGAAAAAAATGAGTTTTGAGGTTAAATTCATAGTTTTGATGTTATTTTGATGATTTGATCGCAGGAGCAAGTTCGTATTATGTTTTTAGACTTGCTTGCATTTTTGGTTTGGAGCCCCGAGGGCTTGGGTGAGTTTCGGATAGGTTTAGGCTATGTTGCGCTTGTTTTTGGATACTTCATCATCGTTTCTTCAAGCAAAAATGATACCACATTGAGAAAATGAGATATGAATTCAGTTTTTATTGAACCATTAGATCCCTTTTCGAAATTACGGAGCCATAGGAAAAAGAATCATCGGATTTGGACATCGTATGAGGAAGTGATGCTCATTTTCGTGTCGGGGAAATTGCTGGTTTCTGGTGTGGTCGCAAATGCGAACTTTTTCATCGCAATTGCGATGCCCAGTTCGCAAATGCGAACTTTTTGTCGCAAATGCAACTTCTGCCAGCCCTTCCTTGTTCGCAAATTGCGAGGGTTCGCAATGGGTCACAAATGCGACATCTGAGGCCTGTTAAGTGAGATTTTTGACGGGATTTACACCCATTTTTTAATTTTCTCAAACCCTAAACCTCCATAGGCGATTTTCCAAAGACCCAAACTTCTCCAAATCATTGGGTAAGTACCTCTAATCAATTTCCAACTATATTTTGTGATTATATCTTAGATTTAACATCCAATTCATGAGAATCTAAAGGAAAATTTGGGGAAAATTGTGAAATCTTTCAAAAATGTAAAATGATTATTTGAATGACCAAATGGTATCGGAATTAGATAATTTTTGTATGGGTGAACTCGTAGAGGAATGGGTGTTCGGATTTTATAAATTCTGTCGGGTTCCGAGGTGCGGGCCCGGGGAGTTGACTTTTTGTTGACTTTTTGCAAATTGTATAAGAATCATAGTTTTGTCAATTGAAATTATTTTCTCTTGCATTGTTTGATGTATTCAAGTCATTTTTGGCTAGATTGAGCGAGCGTTGATGAATCGGTAAAGTAAATGCTAAATTGAGTATTAGATTGGCCGGATTGAGGTAAGTATCTTGCCTAACCTTGTGTGGGAGACTTTCCCTTAGGGTTTGGGTCTTCTATGCTAATTATAGTCCGTGCACGCGAGGTGATGAATGTGTGCTCGGACTTATTTATGGAAAATTTTCCTCTAGGGTTCTTAGGTCCTTATGTTCATTATATGCAAAGTATTCCATCATGCTTGAGTTTCCTAATTGCTTAAATTACCTCTATATGCTCCATATGATGTTGCTAGCTTTCCTCTAATTCTTACTTGTTACTTGACCCCTAATTGCCTTACTTGTAGTGATTGCCTTCCTTATTGTTTTGATACTTCTTGATTGTGAGTTCCTCTATGACTTCGTGCAAATATGTTACATGTCCATTTGTTGTGGTTACCGGTTTAATTATCACGTTATTATGTCTTGTTGCTTTGTTAAGGTTAGTGTGCTTCTTGATTTTTTTCACGATCCTTATTATGTACTATTCATGCTTGACTTAATGAGTATTCATGTTGGACCAGGATTATGGTAATTCCTTGGTATTTGACCGTTGTTGAGTATTGACTCAAGTTGGGATTCATTTTGTGAAGTTAATTGTTGGAACGAGATTGGTTATTGTTGATTCCCTTGCCGGGATGTTATTATTTATGATATTATTTCCATTGCCGGGATGTTATTGTTTATGATATTGTTTCCCTTGCCGGGATGTTATTGCTTATGATATTGTTTCCCTTGCCGGAATATTGTTGTTATACTATTGTTCCCTTGCCGGAATTCTTTTGTGATTGGTGTTGATTTATATATTGGGATCGGGTTGCACACTGCAATAATATTATATGGGATCGGGTTGCACGCCGCAACAATATTATATGGGATTGGGTTGCACGCCACAATAATATTATATGGGATTGGGTTGCACGCCACAACAAGGAGTAATAAGGGTGGACAGGTGGGGTCGGGTTGCACGCCGTAATATCATTATATGATTTGGATCGGGTTGCACGCCGCAATATCATTATATGATTTGGATCGGGTTGCACGCCGCAATATCATTATATGATTTGGATCGGGTTGCAAGCCACAACAGTATTATATGATTGGGATCGGGTTGCACGCCGCAACAAGAAAGAATAAAAGTGAATATTGATTGCATGGTGAGGATTGAAAGTTAAAGCACGAAGGGTGATGCCGTGCACTTTCTGTTTGCTGTGTTTATTTGTTGTTATCAATTCAAGTGTTTTAACTGTTTAGAATCCTTTACTGCTGTGATCCTTTGTGTTGGAATTCATAGTGTTTTCAATACCTTGCCGTATTTATATATACATATTTCAAAACTTCAAATTTCAAAATTGTCACATTTTCAATTCAATTGGTTACTCAATTAAATTCCCTTAAACCGTTTGAAGTTGTAATTTACTTAAAAAGGAATTTCTACTAAGTTAATTTATTAAATCCCATGTTAAAGGTAATAATTCATTTGATGTGGTATTTTAAATTGAAAATGATACTTTCTTTATTCAAATGATTTCTAAAAATAACTTCATCTTTTCTTGCTGAGTTCCTAATTGGTTTAGAAGTTGTACTCTACTTTATGTTATGTAAATGAGACTCCTGGAACATCTTAATTGCATTAGATATAGGTCCTATGTACTGAGTAACATGAGAACGTTGTTGTACAAAGTGAGACAAAATATGTGGGCACAAGGTGCCGGGTGTGCTAAAGGTTTGGAAGTTGAGGTTATGATATGAGACATCGAGTTCTGGGATGGCTGGGGTTGTGCACGAG